GATCAAGGACCAATGGCACTGAAGAAAGAAGTCCAAGCTGCACTGAAGGCACTGGTAAAAAAAACAAGGTTCCAGGAACTGACAAACTGACCCATTGAGACGTTTCAACAAATGGAGTACATTGCCTATGCAAAGAAATTTGGACAACAGCTATGGTGCCAACCAACTAGAAGAAATGCATATTTGTGTCCATTCCAAAGAAAGGTGATCCAACAAATGCAGAAATTACCAAAAAGTATCATGAATATCATATGCAAGTAAAATTTTGCTTAAGATAATTAAAAAATGGTTGCCACAGTACATACACAGGGAACTGCCAGAAATTCAAGTCAGATTCAAAAGGGGAACGTGGAAAGAGGGAGATATCATTGCTGGTATCAGATGGACCTTGGCTGAAAGCAAATAATACCAATGATGCTTAAGTGTGTTTTACTGACAAAGCAAAAGTATTTGACTGTGTGGATAATAACAGATCATAGTTAACAGGCCAAAGAGTGGGAATTCCAGAAAACTTAACTGTGCTCATGTGGGACGTTTACATAGACTAAGAGGCAGCTGTTCAAACAGAACAGGGGGATATTATGCGGTTTAAAATCAGGAAAGGTGTGTGTCAGGGTTGTGTCCTTTCACCATATTTATTCTATCTGTAATGCTGAGCCAGGAAGCTTGACTATATGCAGAACATGGCATCAGGAGGAGAGGAAGACTCATTAGCAACCTGAGATATGCAGATAACACAACCTTGCTTGCTAAAAGCAAAGAAGACTTGAAGCACTTACTGAGTGAAGACCAAAGACTACGGTCTTCAGTATGGATTACACCTCAACATAAAGAAAACAAAAATCCTCACAACTGGACCAGCAAGCAACATCATGATAAGTGGAGAAAATCCTGAAATTATCAAGGATTTCATTTTACTTGGATCCACAATCAACACCCATGGACACAGCAGTCAAGAAATCAAACAATGTATTGTATAGGGCAAATTTGCTGCAAAAGACCTCTATAGAGTGTTAAAATGCAAAATGTCACTTTGAAGACTAAGGCGTACACAACCCAAGCCATGATATTTTCAATTGCCTCATATGCTTGTGAAAGATGGACAATGAATAAAGAAGACCGAAGAACAATTGATAGCTTTGAATAATGGTGCTGGCAAAGAATATCGAATATACCATGGACCATCAATCAAAAGAACAAACAAATCTGTCTTGGAAGAGGTACAGCTAGAATGATCCTTAGAAGTGAGGATGAACTTCATCTCATCTACTCTGGATGTGCTATCAGGAGGGATCAGTTTCAGGAGGACAGCATTCTTGGTAAAAGTAGAGGGGCACCAAAAAAGAGAAAGACATTCATCATGACGGACTGACACAGTGGCTACAACAACGAGTTAACAGCAACAGTTGTGAGGATGGCACAGGACCACACAGTGTTTCATTCTATTGTACATGGGGCTGCTATTGAGTTGGAACTAAGTCAACAGCATCTAACAAAGACAACAACACTTACTTTAATAGTCTCAAATTTTACTTTCTAAGTGAAACATGAATAAACAATATGAACACAGTTCACTACACTGTAAGTCTACCACTCGTCTGTCAGTTTGTTGTACTGTGGGGGCTTGTCTGTTGCTGTTGCTGCAGCTATGTCACCAGTATTTCAAACGCCAGCAGGGTCACCCATGGTGGATAGGTTTTAGCAGAGATTCCACATTAAGAGAGATTGGGAAGAAGAGTAGGGCCATGCACTTCGAAAAAAATTGGCCCATTGAAAGCCTTATGAATAGTAGTGAAACACTGTTTGATATAGTGCCAGAAGATGAGCCCCTCAGGTTGGAAGGCACTCAAGATATGACTGGGAAAAAGCTGCCTCCTCAAAGTAGATTCAACCTTAAATATGTGGATGAAGTAAAGCTTTTGGGAACTTCATTTGCTTATGGGGCATGACTCAAAATGGGAAGAAACAGCTGTAAACATTCATTAATAATCAGAACATGGAATGTACAAAGTATGAATCTAGGAAAATTGGAAGCCATCAAAAATGAAATGGAACACATAAAGATAGATGTCTTAAGCATTAGTGAACTGAAATGGACTGGTACCAGCCATTTTAAATCAGACAACCATATTGTCTACTATGCTGGGAATGACAAATTGAAGAGGAATGGCATCACATTCATCAGGAAAAGAAAAACATTTGAAGCATAATGCTGTCAGTACTAGGATAATATCCATACACCTACAAGGAAGATCAGTTAATAGCGCTATTACTCACATTTATGCACCAAATGCTAAAGACAGGGATGAAGAAATTGAAGATTTTTACAAAACTTTTGGATCTGAAATTGACCAAACATGCAATCAATATGTATTGATAATTACCGGTCATTGGAATGTGAAAGTTGGAAACAAAGAAAAGCAAAGTTGGAAAACATGGCCTTGGTGACAGAAATGATGCTGGAGATCACATGATAGAATTTTGCAAGACCAATAACTTATTCATTCTAAATACCTTTTATCAACAACATGAATGCAACTATACACATGGACCTCACCAGATGGAATATACAGGGACCAAATCAACTACATCTGTGCAAAGAGGCGATGGAGAAGCTGAATATCATCAGTCTAAACAAGGGCAGGAGCTGACTGTGGAACCAACCATCAACTGCTAATGTGTAAGTTCTAGTCGAAGCTGAAGAAAATTAAAACAAGTCCTTGAGAGCCTAATTACAACCTTGATTACATCTCAGCTGAATTTTGAGATTATCTAAACAACAGATTTGATGCAAAACCAGAGAAGTTGTTGGATGACATCAAGAGCATCATACATGAAGAAAGCAAAAGGTCATTAAAAAGACAAGAAAGGAAGAAAACACCAGAGTGGATGTCAGAAGAGACTCTGAAGTGCATAGTAGTTTGAATGTAGAGTAGCTAAAGCAAAATGGAAGAAATGATAAAATAAAGAGCTGAACAGAAGACATCAAAGAGCAGCTCAAGAAGACAAGTAAAGTATTATAATGAAATATGAAAACATCTGGAATTAGAAAACCAAAAGGGAAGAATAGACTTGGGAATTTCTCAAGCTGAAAGAACTAAAGAAAAAATTCAAGTCTTGAATTGCAATATAAAGATTCTATGGGCAAAAATATTGAAAGAAAAAGGAAACATCAAAATAAGATGTAAGGAATATACGGTCACTGTACCAAAAAGATTTGATCAATGTTCAACCATTTCAGGAGTAGCATATGATCAAGAACCAATGGAATTGAAGGAAGAAGTCCAAGCTGCACTAAAGGAACTGGTGAAAAACAAGTCTCCAGGAATTGATGGAATGCCCATTGAGATCTTTCAACAAATGGATGCAGCACTGGAGGTACTTACTTATTTATGTCAAGAAATTTGGAAGCCAGCTACCTGGCAAACAAACTGGAAGAGAACCATATTTGTGCCTATTGCAAAGAAAGGTGACAGAATGTAAAAATTATCAAATAATATCATTAATATAACACACAAGTAAATTTTTGCTGAAGATAATTCAAGAACAGTTGCAGTAGTATATTGACAGGGAACTTCTGAAAATTCAAGACAGATTCAGAAGAGGACATGGGACAAGGGTTATTATCATTGCTGATGTCAGATAGATCTTGGCTGAAAGGAAAGAATACCAAAAAGATCTTTATCTGTGTTTTATTGACTATGCAAAAGCATTTGACTGTGTGGATCATAACAGATTATGAACAACACTACAAAGAATGGGGATTCCAGAACACTTAATCGTGTTCATGAGGAACCTGTATGCAGACCAGGAGGCTGTTGTTTGAACAGAACAAGGGGATACTGCATGGTTTAAAATCAGGAAAGGTGTGTGTTAGGTTTGTATCCTTTCATTTACTTACTCAATTTCTATGGTGAGCAAATAACCTGAGAATCTGGACTATATGAAGAAGACATGGCATCAGGATTAAAAGAAGCCTCGGTAACAACCTGAAATATGAAGATAATATAACCTTGCTTGCTAAAAGTGAAGATTACTTGAAGCACTTACTGATGACAATCAAAGACTGTAGTCTTCAGTATGTATTACACCTCAATATAAAGAAAACAAAACTACTCACAACTGGACCAGTAAGCAACATCATGATAAATGGAGAAAAGACTGCAGTTGTCATGGATTTAATTTTATTTGTATCCACAATCAACACCCATAGAAGCAGCAGCCAAATTAGATGTCATACTGTACTTGTCAAACCTGCTGCACAAGAACTCTTTAAAGTGTTAAGAAGCAAAGATGTCACTTTGAAGACCAAGGGGCACCTAACCCAAGCCATGGTTTTTTCAATCACCTCACATGCATGTGAAAGCTGGACGATGAATAAAAAAAGACTACAGAAAAATTGATGCCTTTGAATTGTGGTGTTGGTAAAGAATACCAAAAATACCATGGACTGACAGAAAAATGAACAGATCTGTTGAAGAAGTACAGCCAAAATTCTCCTTAGAAGTGAGAATGGTCAGACTTTGTCTCACCTACTTTGGTCATGTTGACAGAAGGGACCATTTCCTAGAGAAGGATATCATGCTTGGTAAAGGAAAAGGTCAGCGAAAAAGGGGAAGACCCTTAACAAGATGGACTGACACGGTGGCAGTGACAATGGGCTCAAGCATAGCAAGGATTGTGAGGATGGTGCAGGACTGAGCAGTGTTTCTTTCTGTTGAACACATGCATTGAAGCTAACTCGACAGCACCTGACAATAACAGACTATAAATTAACTAATCCGCTATTCATATCTGTAACCCTTATAATGCCTCCCATAATGTAAATACACAATAAATATTTGTTAGATTCAATGTAAGAACATTAAAAACCTTGACATGTAAAAAATAAGTACTGTCAAAATCCTAAAACTACCTTAAATTGTTATTAGTGTGATATGTACCATAGGGGCATAGAACTAAGTAAGCATGACTATTGTAAAACAAGATCCTTCTAGTACCTTGATATGTTTTACACCACAGCTGACAAGTTTATTTGGCTGGTACAAATCCCAAGAAATATCAAATATCTGTAAACAAATCAGATTTGTAGTTAAAATACTTAATTTTCAGAACCATGTTAATATCCATCCTAAAAGACCAAGTAGCCTAAACCCCTACCTATCCAAAGACAATAAACCATTTGCCGTCAAGTCAATAATGGCTCCTGGTGACCCCATGGATGTCAGATTGGAACTCTGCTCCAATAGCTGATTTTTCAGAAGTAAATCGCCAGGACTTTCTACTGTGACACCTCTGGGTAGACTCAGATCTTAACCTTTTGGTGAGCAACAAAGCATGTTGACCATTTGTACCACCTGGGAACTCTCAAAAAATAATACTCCAAATCCCACATTCTAAAACTTCATGAGAAACAAAGTAAATATGTAAATAATAAAGAGCAAAAACTATTACTCAATTTCTATGAACTTTATGTAACTTGTGGAGTGAAAATTAATGTCTCTATTTTTAAATTTTTAAAAAATTTGAACCACAAATAAGAATAGTTTAACAGACCTATGGCATAAGGCAAGTGTCTGCACAATTTCTAGAGAGGAAAGATTCTGATTGGAACATTCACTTACACACTTATACAATTAGAAACAGGGAACATTTTTATAGCTGTCTATCACACAGAAGTTCTTACATAAAGAATACAAACATGTATTTCACAGTAATTTTTTTTCTTTTCCATTTTTAGCTCTCTTAGTGTTTACGTGGGTGAAACAAAATTAGCCCAAACTTAAATTTGGGGGATTCCCAGGCTTACTTCTTTTCTAAGATTCCATAAGTTCTAATTGCATACAAAGCATTTTATTACCAAAGCAATTAAAAAAAAAAAAAAAAACCCAGATAGATAGCACATGCATTAGAAACATGTAATTTAATAACAAATAAAATTTAACATTTGAAGTAATTATTCATTCAGCCTTCTGTTAATTTTAACCATGTTTTTTTCTTTTCTTTTCTTTTCTTTTTTTGGACAGCTGCACGTTCACCTAAGACATTTTCTATGTAAGGGAAATAATTTCAAAATTTATAAAATGATATTCCTCAGTGACAACGAAGAAAGAAGACATCTTATAAATTAATTTGAATAACTCCCCGTAATACAGACCATATGGAAAATGTACCAATGCAACTTTAAAATACTAACCAGAAAAATGCTTTAAAAAATTCTATTGACAACACCATTTTTCATAATATTAACTAATCTATTTACTAAATCCAAAGTTCTAATGTATGGAACACTTTGAACTAACTAAGTCAGAATATACAAGTATCTAAAGAAATTTAGCTCACACTTTAATGTCCATTCAACTGTGGGTGGGAGTGTATAACAGGCCCTTTGAGAATCTGCTGAAAACCCAGTTTACTCTCCAAAATGCAAATACATATCCACAAAATTTTCTGTACAATTTTTAGAGATTCATATATTCCCCTAAAATGGAATAACTGACTATGCCTCCTGTGCTGGATCAGGATAGCATCATACTACACAAAATAAGTAGACATTTTTAAGCATTTATAACCAACTTTTTTTATCAGTGTTTATAAGAATAGTATAACATTTAAGTTAAAAATCTGACTATAAAATATTCTTTATATTAATTTCATACTACTTTGAATAAGAAATATATTCTTAACCAATCTTCAACGTAAAAAGTTTTTTTACTAATATAAACCAAACCAAAACTCACTGCCATTGAGTGGGATTTGACTCATAGCGACCCCTCCTTGGGTTTTCAAGGCGATATCGCTACGGAAGTAGATTGCCCAACATTCTTTCTGAGGAGTGGCTGGTGGGTTTGAACCGCCAGCCCTCTGGTTAACAGTCAAATGCCTTAGCCATTACACCACCAGAGTTCCTCTAATATTATATATATTGAGCCATATTTCTGAGTACTACAAAACATATGCATTCTATAACTTTATGGATATTTATAATTGTACTTGAAGATTTAAAATTACATAGAAACTATGTGTCAACAACAAAACACAGGAGAATAAAATCCTATGAATCCTATTCTGGTCCTCTCCAGTATTCATGAGAACTCCAAAGGTAAATACTTACTCTGTCTGTGTGACCAGGAGCCATAGACAGCATTTTTCCCCTTTTCCAATCCCAAATGCAAACTACATTCTTTGAATCGAGTCCAACTGAAACCAAGCGCTGAATTATGTCCAAGGAGTCAAGGAGGGAATAAAAGGCAAACAAAGCAAAGAGAAACCAAATTACAAATGACTAGAAAACTCTATTCACAGATTTTAGAAACATTAAACTTACATAATTTATAGGCTTCATAGAGAGACAGTCATCACATCAATTATCACTAGTTATTGGGGCAGTAGTCATTATCACGGTTCTGAGAGCCCCTAGAGAGAGCACAGAACACCTGCAAGTTAATTCTATCCTTACATACTTCCCAAATTATTTCATATAAAATCAAAAGTCCACATAAACTATGTACTTTCTACTGACTTTCTAACTTCATTTCCTACCAGTAACCAGCTGATTCACGGCTCGCCAGCCACAACCTCCTTACCACTCCCTCAAATATTCTAGGTACACTCCTGATACTAAACCATTATTTTTCTCCAAAGCACTTACCACCATCTGTCATATTATATACTGTGATGGTTAATGTTATGTGTCAACTCAGCTAGGCCATGATTCACAGTATTACATAATTATCCTCCAATAAGAAGAGTTTCCTTGGGGGTGTGGCCTACATCCAATATATGTGGATGTTCTGGCAAAGCTCTCTTTCTCTCTGGAACCTGCATTTGACTTGTCATCCCGTGACGTCCGTTCAAAAAGGAGCTCTGGTGGCACAATGCCTAAAGCACCCACTAGCCACTCTGTGGAAGGAAGATGGGTCAATTTACTTCTATGAAGATTTTAAAATTGGGCAATCTACTTCTGTAAAGATTTACAGCCTTGGAAAAACAGTGGGGGTTGCACTGAGTTGGAACTAACTCAATGGCAGTGAGTTTGGTTTTTCTTTTTTTTATTTCCATTCTTGAGAAGTGAGCCCAAGAGCCCAAAGCCTACTATCTGATCTGCAGATTTGGGATCCACCAGTTCCCGCAATACCATAAATCAGTAGCCTGCTATATGACCCACCAATCTTGGGTTTGTCAGTCCCTGAACCACATGAGTCAAGAGAATCCTCCAGCCTGATGCCTCACCCACAGATTTAGGATGTACCAGAATCTACAAATGTGTGAGCCATTTCCTTGAAATAAATCCTTTTCTATATATATTGATATATATACACACTTCACTGGTTTTGCTCCTCTAGAGAACCAGCTAACACATATGATTTATTTCTTTTTTTATGGTCTATCTCTCCTAATTAGCACATATACTCTCTAATGGCAGAAATTCTTGTCTGTTTTGTTAACTCTATGGATAGTGCCTATATCGATGAGGGTCTGACTCATGGTAAGAGTCCAATAAATATTTCCTGAATGAATGAACTAATAGAAAATAAATTAGAAATCTTAACAAACATTGACTCCATAAAGCAATAAAACTAATTCATAGGGCACAATAATGTAGCTTATATGTTAATAGAGAAGCAGCCAGAGTTAAAATCCTGATGACCCTGTATTATTCAAAACCTGAATCACTGCCATCAAGTTGATTCCGATTCATAGCAACCCCCACTGGACTTCCAAGGCTGTACACTTTACGAAAGTAGATTGCCTCATCTTCCCTTTGTGGAACAGCTGGTGGGTTTGAACCACCGACCTTACCCACTATGCCATCAGAGTTCTGTTATATTACTCAAGAGGGAAAAAATGTTAATTAACTTTAGTTTTTATTAGGTAAGCATTTTAATATATCTAGGAAACCCACTAAACTGCTAGATATAGAGAAAAATAATATCAAAACAAGGACAGAAAACAAAATGAAATTAGGAAAAAAATCCAAAAGATGGGATGAAAAGAGAGAAGAGAAACAGAAAAAGTGAGGACAATAGAAAGCACAAACTAAGATGACAAATAAACCTACTAATTTTCACAATATATGTGAATTGACTAAAGTCTTAAAAAGCACAGCCTGTGGATGAATTCAGAAGAAAAACCCAGCTACACAGCTATGTACTGTTTATAGAAGACACACTTGAAGCCAAAAGGAAGAAAAATGTTGATGTTAAAAGAAGGGGAAAGACACACCAAGCAAATACTAATGTTGGATTAGTTTTTTAATATGAGACAAAATACACTCCTCTAAAGTAAAAAGTGTTACAAGAAATAAAGAGGGCCTCTGCACCTTAGATAAAAAATGGAATTCAAACTCAAACTCACTGCTATCGGGTCAGATCCAACTTATAGCGACCCCTCCTTGGGTTTCCAAGGCAGTATCTAAAATAGCCTCAAAATATATAAAGGAAAACTGTCAGAACTTAAAGAAAAATTGGCACATTTATCATCCTAGAAAACTTCTCTCAATTTGATATAAAAAACTAATCAATATGGCTTGAGAAGATTGTAATCACAGACTTAACAAGCCTGACTTACTGAGTATATAGAATAGTGGCAGGCACACTAACCCAAAATCAAACCCACTGAAACAAAAACAAACCCACTACCATCAAGCTGATTCCTACTCACTACGAAAGTTTTACTGCCAATCCCATTTGTTTACATTATGTCTATGGCTGCTATTACACTACAACATCTGAGATGAATAATAGTTGCAATGCAGACTGCCTGCCTTGCAGACTTAAAATATTTACCATCTGGACTAGTAAGAAAAAGTTTGCTGATCCACTGGAATGGAACATTCTATCAAACAAACAAATAGAGAATATAATTTGATTTAAACACATGAAATACTTAAAAAAGGAAAAACTGATGACATATTAGGTCATAAACCCAGCCTCTACACATTTCAAATAACTGGTTTTAGATTATAATGCAGTTAAATTAAAAATTAATAAAATAGCTCAGAATAAACCATATATTTTGAGAATTTAAAAAACACAAACAGTTCATTGGTAAAAGAAAGAATCATAAAGCAAATTAAAATTCATTTTAAGGAAAATGAATGAAAACAGTCCATATCAAAACTTATGGTATACTGTTATAATAGTGCTTAGAAGGAAATTTATAGATTTATATCCATTTATTAGGGGGGAAAAAAAGCTTAAAACCAATGAGCTAAGCATCCATCCCAAAACATTAAAAAAAAATAGCAGAAGAACCCAAAGAAAGTAAAAAGAAGGAAATATTTATAGCTCAAGAAAAAATATATACCTATACCCATTCAGAGGGAGCTCCGGTGGCATAGTGCCTAAGGCATTTGACTGCTAACTAGAAAGCTGGCGGTTCAAACCCACCAGCCACTCCTTGGAAGGAAGATTGGGCAATCTATTTCCATAGAGATACCACCTCAGAAACCCAAAGAGGGGTTGTTATGAGTCAGAATCCACTCCATGGCAGTGAGTTTGGTTTTTGGTTTATAACCATTCAAGAAATTGGATCCTAAGTTTAAAATCTTTCCTTAAAGATTTTAAAAGCTTGCAAGCAGCCATCTAGATGCAACAATGGGTCTCTCATCGTCCAGAGCAAAGAACGAAGAAAACCAAAGACACATGGAAACAATTAGTCCAAGGGACTGGTGCACCAGGTGATCCTCAGCCTATACGACTATGAGACCAGAAGAACTAGATGGTGCCTGGCTACCATTATCAACCACTTGGAGAGGGAACCTAAATAGCATATCCTGGATAGAGTGGGAGAACAATGTGAAACAAAACTCAAAATCATTAAAAGAAAAAAAGAAGTGGGGGAGACCAGGTTTGCTGGTCTGACAGAGCCTGATGGGTCCACTGAGGCTATGGCCTCTAGCTGCCCTTCAGGTCTGGAATTGAACCCACTCCTGTGGTTTCCAGTCAAACAAAAGACAGGCATATGAGCTGAACATTTACATTAGGTAGATACACTCCTTGGAGAGAACAATCATGGGAGAATGGAAAGGCTGTGTATGAACAGGGAGACAGCTCAGAGGGCAGGAGTGTATAGGAGGGAAGGACATAGGGAAGAGGGTAACTATGGGGAGGAAGTGGGAAGGGAGCTGTTGCATTGTAAGAAATTAGTCAATGTCAGGAGACAAAATGTATATGAACTGCTATATGGAAAATGAATTTGCTCTGTAAACTTTCACCCAAATCACAATAAAAATTAAAAAAAGAAAAAAAAAAACTTTCTACAAAGAAACCACCACACACAGATGCTTTTCAGGTTATTTCTACCAATTTTTCAAAGAACAAATAATCACAAACAAATATTTTTAGATAACAAAAAAAGAATAGATCTTGATACCAAACTCCACAAGGACAGTTCAACTATGACCTATTACTGATCAATCTCATTCAATAAGCATATAAACCACACACTAAAATTGACAAACATGATGTATCAAATGAACCTCTCACCCCCTTCAAAAAGAAATCACACTATGAAAATCAGACTTATCCCAGAATGCAGAGTTGCTTTCTCACTCTCAGATACCCACTCAATTCATGTAACTAACCACATTAACAGACCATAGCAGGAAAAAAAATATCATCATAATAGTTGTAGAAAAAAATTGTTTGATAACATTCAACAGGCCCTTCTCATTAAAAAAAAAAAAAAAAAAAAAAACTTTCAGTAAGTCAGGAGAAGGGAATCTCCTTTAATAGAGCATTGATACATACATGTACATATATAAATTCAATGCTGAAATGTGAAAGTTTTCTCTTGAGATTAGTATCAGACAAATATGATCATTATTGCCATTTTTATTAAACATTATACAAGCCAGGGAAGGAAGGAAAAAAGGAGGGGGGGCAAAATTAAATAGCAAAACAAACTGTTCATGTTCCCAGAAAATGACTGTCTACATAGATAAACAGAATTAATAACAAAGTTCAGCAGGTGGCTAGATATATGTTGCTGTTTGTTGTTTTGTGCCTTCAAGTCAGACCCGACTCACAGTGACCCCTCCTTGGGTTTCCCAGGCTACCGTCACTACGGAAGTAGATTGTCCAACCTTCCTTCCGAGAATCCACTGTATTTACAACAGCAATAAAAAATAAAGTATCTAGTTTTGAACATAATAGAGATATGAAGACTGTTGTAAACAAAAAATTTTGTTGTTTTATTGTGATTTTGGTG